AGTAACCCAAATAGCATGTTACTGGCATAAAAACAGACACATATACCAATGGAAAAGAGTAACAGAATCCAGAAATAAATCCACGTATCTACAGCCAACTGATTTTCAACAAAGACACATATATTCAAGATCATACAATGGACAAAGGACAGCCTCTTCGATAAATGTTTCCGAAAAACTGTTTGTCTATATGCAGGAGAATAAAACTAGTAACCTATCTTTCACCATATAAAATAATGAAGTCAAAATGGATTAAAATTTTTAATGTGAGACCTTAAACTATAAAATCACTAGATGAAAACATAGGAAAAACACTATGAGACACCGATCTGTGAAAAAAATTTATAGAGAAGACTTCTAAAGCATAAGCAACAAAAACAAAAACAGACAAATGGAACCACATCAAACTAAAAAGCTTCTGCACAGCAAAGTTAACAATCAACAGAGTGAAGAGGCAACCTGCAGAATAAGAGAAAATATTTGCAAACTAATTCTCTGACAAGGAGTTAATATCCAGAATATATAAGGAACTTAACAGCAAAACAAAACAAAACAAAAAATCTGATTTCAAAAAATAGCAAATGAGCTAAATAGATATTTCTCAAAGGAAGACATACAAATGGCCAACAGGTAGATGAAAAAACACTCAACATCACTAATCATAAGAAAAATGAAAATCAAAACGACAATGTAATATCATTTCACTCCATTTAGAATGACTATTATCAAAAAGATAAAAGACAACAAATGCTGGCAAGGATGCAGAGAGAAGGGAACTCACACACCGTTGTTGAGAATGTAAATCAGTGCAGCCATTATGGAATCAGTATGGAGGTTCCTCCAAACACTAAAAATAGAACAATCACATGAGCCAGCAATCCTCTTACTGAATATTTAGCCAAAGGAAATAAAATCATATTTACACCCTCATGTTTATTCATGTTTAGTCATTGTTCACGATAGCCAAGATATGGAATCAACCTAAGTGCCCACTAACAGATAAATGGATAAAGAAAATGTAGTATATTTACACACTGGAATATTATTTATCCATTTAAAGAATAAAATTCTATCATTTGCAGCAACATAGATGGAACTTAAGGTGTTAAGTGAAGTAAGTTAGGCACAGGAAGAGAAATATTACATGAACTAACTTGTGGAATCTAAAAAAGTTGATTTCATAGAAGTAGAGAATAGAATAGTGGCTACAAGAGGCTCAGAAGGAGGCGGGGGGAGGATACGGAGAGGGTGGTCAGTGGGTACAAAGCTAGGGTTAGATAGGAGCAGTAAGTTCTAGCGTTCCATTACACGGTAGGGTGACTATAGTTAATAATGATATATTGTACATTTCAAAATAGCAAAAAGAGAGAATTCTGAATGCTCTCACCACAAAGAAATGATAAATATCTGAAGCGATAGATAAGCCAATAACTAGTTTTATTATTACACATTGTACACGTGTGTTGGTATTAATACATCGCACCATACTCCAATATGTACAATTATTATGTGTCAATAAAAAATTAATTAGGGCCTGCCCGGTGGCGCACTGGAGAGTGCGCCGCTTGGGAGTGCGGCGGCGCTCCCACCGAGGGTT